AGTGCATAACCAGGTTGGTGTTGCCCACATGAGGAAACAGGCAGAACTTTTTACACACACACACACACACACACACAGAGAGAGAGAGAGAGAGAGAGAGAGAGAAAGAGAGAGAGCAAGCTAAAGAGAGATTGAGATTAAGGTTTGGATGGAGTTACCTCATTACAGCGTCCTGTTTCATTAGATAAATAAAATTGTGACCCTTAAATCCCTGTTGTCGAGTGTCTTCATTCCAGGATGTGTGGGCAATAAAGAGAGAGATATTTGTCTTAAAGTGAAGGGAATTCTTTCACACTTCACTCAGTACGTTACAGTTCCTTGTTGGGTTAGCTTCACCTAGGATAGTAAGCATATTGTCGTTTAGACTACAATACTAATAGTCTTGAACTGAAATCCACACTTTCCTAAGGGTTTTATTTTTAAAAAATTAATTCAGTAATTAACGAAGTGAACCCCTCCAAATGCTCATCCACTATTTTTATAAACAAGGTGGGCGGCTCACCTGAAGCACGGAAGAGGGAGAAGACAGAGAAGTGAGGCAGTGTTTGAGTTGCCAGCATGCAAGTCTGTCGTTTCAGTTGAAAAACTGGGAGGGAGCCTGCTTTTAAACAACTTGAGAAATTGCTGTGAATTCTGTTTTCATCTTATGTGTGGCTTCACCTTAAGTTGGTGAGAGGCCCACATCTCAATATTTTCACATTAAGCAACAGCACTCTTAAGAAACCTCACCTTCAATAATTATCATAACCAGGTTGAAGTCTACCCTCACATATGTAAACAGTAAACTTTACGTTTACTTCAAGTTAGCTTCTGCTGCTCTTCTTTTGGGATGGAAAACAATCGCTCACCCATACCCAGAATTAGTCACACTAGAATTAGCCCTCAAAGGCAAGAGGATTGTTTTTTCAGTATCACATCTTTCCTCACCCCTTTCATCAGGGGTGGCTCATCCCATTTCGCCGCTTGAGGCAACATGGGAAGTGCCATCCTGCCCTGCAGCCATCGCCTCTGCAGGAGAAGCATTGCAAGCATTGGCATTGATTTCAGATGAAATTGTGCTGATTTCTGGTGAGGTCGCGCTGAAATCACACGAGATTTATTTTCTTATGTGATTTTGGCAACATCTTGATGATGGTGGAGGCAGCACACCCTGCTTAATGACTGCGCTGGTTCTGCCCAAAGTAATCTATTTGTCTCTGTGAACTGTCCTACCCCACAGTGTGGAGAGATAATATCAGGGCAGAGAAAAATAAATACTTCTTCACACAGACTATAACAAACCCAGGCCCTCTTACTACCACAAGATGTAGCAATGCCCACCAGCTGGGCAGGTTTAAAAGGGGATTAGACAAAATATTTGAAGGATAAGACCACTAGTCATGATGGTCACATAGTACTTCCAGAATCAGAGGCCTCTGAATAGCAGTTGTTGGAGCTCATGAGTGTTGCATTTATGTCCTGTTGTGGGCTTTCCATAGGCATCTGGTTCATAGCTGTCAACGTTTCCCTTTTTTAAAGGGAAATTCCCTTTTCTGAATAGGATTCCTCGCAAGAAAAGGGAAAAGTTGACAGCTATGATCTGGTTGGCCACTGTGAGGCTAGTTAGACCTTAAATTTCAAAGCTTTCTGCAATTACAAAGCAAACCAATATGGCCTCCTGCTAGTTGCTCTTGTTCCAGTTTCCAACACTTCTGCCTAAGTCTCACATGCGAGAAAGACGCTTTAGAGCAGGGCGGTCCAACTTTTCATACCAAGTGGGTCGCAAGAGTCCTTAGACATGGAACCCATGGGCTGCACACTGCCTTGTGAGGGAGAAAGGGCAAAATATGTCACCTCAGCCCTTGTGCTGCCTACCTAAAGCTGGGTAAGCAAGGCACCAGGCTTTGGGAAGGGGGTGTGAAGCTCTGGCAGTGTCCTAGACCCCTCCCACATCCTTCCTAAAGCTAGGACCACCCTGCTGTAGAGGAAACTGTTTTGTTGTAGCTGAAGACCTCTTGAGGAAGACCAATGGCTGAAAAACAGTCAACATTCTTTGTCAAACAAATAACTGTTTGAACCGCTTGAGACTAGACTCTTCTTTTCCATTTCTGTTGTTTGTGCATAGCCTCTTGTTCTCTCCAACCTTAGTCTTCACCATACGTTTGAGACTCAGGATTTGTCTAGATATAACAGTGGCCTGACCCACATCTGAAAATGCGGACCAGGCTGCACATCTGTAAAATGGGCTGGTGGCAAAAGAGATATAAATTGTTCTGATTGTAGGATTGCGTCTGGTTCAAATGTGTGGTCTGCCCCGCCCAGGCTCAGAATAATCATTGCTGTCTTGTTTCCTTTCCCTCCCCTCTCTAGTTTTTAACCAGAAGGGAGTTGTTTACCGATGGATTCAACACCGAGAGTCTATTTCTGCTGGATTTGATAAAAAAAACACAATTAAAATGTTTTGCAGGAGGGTTAGGCCAATTTGGCCGGCATCCTGGAACACACTCCAAGTGAAACCTGGAGGAATATACTGTACACGTAAAAAGAATTGTCCTCTGGGAATCCACCCCTCTTCCATTAACCTGATATTTTGCTCATCCTATTAGGAGATTTCTCTGAGGAGTGAAAATACTAGATTGCCTCATTAAGACTCATCATTTACAAGTTGTTGACAAAGCTTGGCATTTATCCTGTTGTCATAATAAATGTGAGAAAATGACCATTTGGCAAATAAATAAATAAATAAACAATTCTCCCGTGCAACAGTAAATCACATAATCCAACCATATTCAGGTCTGGAGAGACAAGGTGTTGCTATCTCTATGCGGCTCTATTATGTTGTAAATTATAGACTGCAAGAACAAAATATGTTATATTAAAAAAAAAACACCCTAATCTTTTCTCTTAAAACAAAACAAAACAGCGTGTCTTGATTTATTTTGCCATTTTTACAGTTTTCTATCTGAGGCCGAAGTCCTGTACTCATTCATCTGGGAACGAGCCCCATCGAACCCCTGTGCAATGACACAAAGAGGATTGCACTGTGAATGTCTGAAATATTAACCTGAATAATTTATTCCCAGATCAGTTACTAGGGAGAACATACACTTAGCCTCCTTTTCAGAAGGAATCTACTAGATGGGAGAGGAATTTGGTTCAGTTCCTCTTTTAATGCGAAACCTCCCTAATTTGCACTTCCTGAAACAATGCACAGAGCAAAATGGGGGTGTCCTACAAAATGCCCACTTTCCCCAATTTTACAAGTGCAGGTCTCTGACCAAATAACGTGTGGAAAGAGGGTATGTTAGGGGGGGAAAGCATGCAGAAAGATGCTTAGATTAGTCAAAATTTGTTTGTTATATTGATCAAAATTAGTTTGCTAATGAGAAACATTACACTGGGGAAATTTGATTGGAAAAATTCACAGTAAAATGCCGGTGAATTTTCATGACAACCTTTGAAATAAAAACAAAAATCTCAAACCAAGGCAAAATTGTGAAGAACTGAACTTAAAACTAGAAAATTTTGAAACGGAGAGAACGTGAAACAGAAGATCCACCCATCCCTTTCCCCATTTGTCCATGTCATTTACCAATGACATAGGCCGCATACATGGGACTCAGTAAGCTCTGCTGAACACAGAGGGACTTCTGATGAAGTATGCATATAATTGCAGTGTGTGTAACCCTGCAGTTACAGCCTGATCCGTGGACTGGCAAGTGTTAAAGAGGAATCTGGCTTCGCTGTGCTTCTCAGGAAATCCTCTCCTTCTTCTTGCAAAGTATAGCTGGCAGGTATTGGCGTGAGCTTCCTGAGCACCTTCCGCCATACCAGCATAACATGATACTGTACTGATCTGTAAAGGCTCTTTTGCAAATGCCCTTCCATAGAGCAACAAATATGTGATCTAGTAGGTCTACAAGACTTCTAAAGGAACAGAAGGCCCTTTTTACGAGACGGTCTTTGAGCCAATCAACTTGAGAAACGGGCAGAAAATATCATCATTATTGTTTTATCCTGCTTCAAGAAACCCAGGACTGTGTATGTCATTGCGTTTTTCATTCCCATGTCCATTCTCTACTCCACCACCATTGCTCCAGCCTGCTCTGTGGTGAGAGGAGAAACAGTTAGTTTTTCCACCATTGCTGAGAGAGGGGGGGAGGGAGATAGCAGGGAAGGGACATTAACACTGTACAGTGGTACCTTAGGTTACTCAGGTTAAGAACTTAATTCGTTCCGGAGGTCCGTTCTTAACCTGAAACTGTTCTTAACCTGAGACACCACTTTAGCTAATGGGGCCTCCTGCTGCCACCGCGTCACCACTGTGCGAATTCTGTTCTCATCCTGAAGCAAAGTTCTTAACCCAAGGTACTATTTCTGGGTTAGCGGAGTCTGTAACCTGAAGCGTCTGTAACCTGAAGCGTCTGTAACCCGAGGTACCACTGTATATAACTTTCCTCCCATTTGTTGTCACAACAACTCTGTATGGTAGGTCAGGCTAGGAGATGGTGGCTAGCTAAGATCACCAGTGGAGCTTTACAGCTGAGGAGGGATTTCAACCTGTGTCCCCAGCCCTAGTCTAAACAATCTGTGTCACTGATTTTCTGATTCCACCCTGATTTCTCTTTGCCGGCAGAGCGACAGCTTAGAAAAAAACATGTCGGATAAATATTTCCTTTCTATTTCTTGTGGATCCCCTTGTGGATGACAGGCACTTGTTTTTATTTCTGTTAATTGCAGATTTCCTGCGCAACATTTCTCAAGATGAGATGAAGATGTGCTGAGAGCCTGGTGTCAGATGTACATTTGACTGGCTGTGTTTGTTCAACTCCGGAGCCACCCACAGAATCTGGCGGAATGCAGGAATTCACACCCGGTTTAAGGTGGATTTATCGACTACTGTATGCAGTACAACAAATAAGAAACAGAAGGGGAGAGTGACAACTGCAAATGGTACATCAAAAAGCATAAAGATGCAGGTTCCCCTTCTCTTGTTCTACTTCTGTCATGAAGCTGAGGGAACAGTTCAGTCAGTAGAGCATGAGACTCTTCATCTCAAGGCCGCGGGTTTGAGCCCCGTGTTGGGTGAAAAATTCCTGTGTTGCAGGGGGTCGGACTAGACAGTCCTTGTGGTCCCTTCAACTGTACAATTCTATGATTCTATAACAACCTCTGTCTAAGGCATTCTTCTGAACAAGGAAGAGGAACAAGAAAACCCTCCCGAAAGTACGTAGACTGGTGGAACTGTTAGAATTCCTGCTCCATGATTGCAGTCATGGGATTGTTGTTTATCACATGATGGTATATGTTTTGACTCCACAGAGTGGGAAGTGACGGAGACAGGATGTTTGTTTTACTGTGTTCTGTGAAGTGGGACTATTGTCCTTTGTTCATTCTATTTGCTGTCTGATGCTAGAGAGAGAGGGAGCCATGTTGCAGTGCTCTCTGTGTGTTTATATGTAAATAAAGTAGATTAGCCAAAATGCTGAGTTGCTGAGGTCTGTCATGCGAACTGCGCAAACTCTGTGGATCCCTAAGTTTGCCAGTCTATTGGCATTGGTTGCTGTGATGTTTGGGCTGAAGAAAGCTTTTGAAGCTCCCGAACGATCGACCAGGAGGGAGAGAACATGCCAGTTGGGCATGTGTCTCTGCCAGGGTCCTACTCGAGTGTAGGACGAGCTCCTGACAGGAACTTCACCATGGGCTGAAGCATGTATTTATGGTAGGGCCAGCACAGGATATTTTACTGTGTGAAGTGAAGGACAAAATGGCATCCTCTCCTTTCATATACAGAAGCTGACAGACCAATCTGGTGATAGACACTGGCGATTGGACAGTGTTCTCCTGGGGTCAGCAGTCTTACTTTGGTGGTGCAGGGCAGGTTGTGTAGCCCACACAGTTCCAACACATCACCACCATTTGTCATCCCCGTCCCCCAAACTGCCGCATCCCCAGCATCCATTTTCCACCCAATGGTAGGGACAGCCCTGGCAGAGGTGGATTAAGGGCAGAGCAACTGGTTCCGCCGCACTGTGACCAAGCCTGGGGCACCAAAGGGTGCTACAACTATGGCACAGTGAACTGAACTGAGCAGAACAGAAGGTGAGAGGTGGGATGGGGGGCACCAATTGTTGGCCTTGCACGGGGCACTGCTGAAATTTGAAAGTCCAAAGCCCTGGGGTGGAGGTCCAAGCATGAAATCTGCCATTTAAGAAGTAGATTCAGCACCCTCCCCAGTTGCCGGCACAGAAGAAAAAAGTTAATGGAAGGGGAGTTTAGAGGTTGTGGCAATGAGGTACGCTTGCACTCTGCTAGGGCAGATAGATGGTTGTCAAATGTATTAGCATTCAATAAAGGCATCGGGAAATTCAGCTTAAGGCAGTTGACATCTCACACCCCAAAGATTCACTCTTTGCGAATTCTCCTTTCCTCCAAACTGGCAGCAGATGTTCTGAGGCATACCACTCTTGTTAATATTCTTTATTCCAAAGTACCCTGTTGAAATAAGTTGCACTCAACCTGGAATTCTTTTCTGAAATCACAAGTTTCTTCTGTAAACACCTATAAACCAAACAAAGAAAGTGCACACATGCACACACACACACACTGCTGAAATAACTGTTACAACAGCCAGCAAGAAGAATGAAAACAAAAAAGAAAGTTAATCAACCATCTGGAGTTGCGTGAAGGTTGCTTTGCAGAAATTGAGCATAATTTCCCCCCCTTATTGGGTTACCAGCATGTTAAATAGGAACAAAAATCCTGTGTGTGTTTTAGTTTTGTTTTCCTGTGCAACTTTTCTATTCTAATTAAAAGGGGAAATGGTTTACTGCCCATGGAGGAGAAATTTCCTTCATCCACAATAGGCTAGATTTCTCAAATACTTTCGCGCAGTAATGTATCTCAGTGATTATATGAAAACCACAGAACAATAATAATAAGAATCAGAGCAAATGTTAACTCTAGATGGGTGCAATTAGAGGCCACTTCTGCGAACGGAATTTCAGCTTGACTTGTTTTGTGGTTTAGGGTAGTCTCTATTAAATATAGAAAAATCTAGTTAATTAATTAGACCTTAGTGTTAAATGAGTTTTTTAAGCCCGAGAGACAAGGGGAATGTGGGATTTGCAGGGCCCTGACAGTGCACAGTTAATGATGCTAAACCCAAAGTGAGTGTTAATGTAGGCTACAATATCTTAAGTGTCAGAAATACACTGGTAGATATGGATGTGAATCAAATGCTAGAGATTAATGAGAAGTAATAAAAGGTTAATTCACCATTGATCTGCAGATTGTCCTTATTTGCTTGGGCTTTGTGGCATTGCTCTTCTAGACATTGCTGTTTTCTGTACACTGTCATTAAGAAACCTGATGGAAAAAAACTTCACTTCCCGGTATTTAAACTGTTCTGCCCTGCCAGTCCTTAGGGTGAAGGGTGGGTTAACAATAATAGTAATCATCATCATCAAAGTGATCAGTTTTGCAGACTCAAAACAATACTTTTAAATTTTCTTTTAACATTTGAATTTTTAGAATTTTGTAACTTGAATATAAACATCCCCTGTAGCCTTCAAAGAGAATGTTTGGCTTCTCCCCATCTCACCTTTTTTTTTGAGAGCACCCCTTTGTGAAATGATGCCAAACTGTTTGGCAGCAGGAGTTTTGGAGAGGAGAGGCAAAGTTGGATCAACTTGTCCTTATTTGGTCACATGTATCTGAGGAAATGTGGGTGCATACCTGAATGCACATACTAATTCACGTGCTGACCCAGCTAGTCAGGCATAAGTATGACTAGAGTTGACTTATAGCAAAAGCCTTCCTGTTACAGTTTGGGCTCTTGATAGACCTTTACTGGTATCTAATGGGCCTTGCAATGTGAGGCTGCCTAGAATACTGCCTGCCTGCAGAGTACACAGGCTTGTAATTCTTAACATATAATGGCTACTTTCAAGCACAGCACATTAATGAAGCATGAACTAGAATGAAAGCTTTTCCAAAGTTGATTAATAATAATAATAATAATAATAGTTCTTCGCCGATTGGACTAGGTTGTCCCAGCCACTCGGGGTGACATCCAACAAATATAAAAGGATAATAAAACATCTAACATTAAAAGCTTCCCGATACAGGGCTGCCTTCAGTTGGCTTCTAAAAGTTGTGCGGTTATTCATTCCCTTGTCATCTGATGAGAAGTTGTTCCACAGGGTGGGAACCACTACCAAGAAGGCCCTGTGCCTGGTTCCCTATAACTTAACTTCTTACAGTGAGGGAACAGCCAGAAGGCCCTTGGAGCTGGACCTCAGTCTGTGGGCTGGACGACAGGGGTGGAGATGCTCCTTCAGGTATACAGAGCCGAGGCCGTTTAGAGCTTTAAAGGTCAGCAGCAATGCTTTGAATTTTGTTTGTAAACGTACCGGGAGCCAGTGAAGATCCTTTAGGACTGGTGTTATATGGTTTCAGCGGCCGCTCCCAGTCACCCAGAAAGTTCTCTTAAACACCAGCAATGATGTAGATGTATGCATCTGCCGAGCAAAGGAGTTTCAAAGATGTGGGGCCCTGCCCCTGGTTTTCAATAAATAAAACAACGTTCATCTAGGCCCCATTGACATTGCAGGATGTGTCTGCTGCCATTGCCAATAGGCAGGTACTGTATATCACTAGTCACAAGCATCACCTTGTTGCATGCAACTGCAGCCAGAGTGACACATACACACACCTGTTCACAATCACTCCATTGCACTGAATGTGAGTGATTTTAATCCCCCGAAAGGTATGTAGAAGTCCTCTAATGAATTGCTATCCTTCGCAGAAAATGTGAATAATTTGGATAGTGGGGAAGGAGCGCTGTGCATTTATGGGATATTATAGACATCACTGACAGCCAGTTAGAAAGTTCTACTTGTGTCATTTCATAATAAAGAAGAAAGACTATTTCAACACTCCTAGCATCAAAGAACGCATGTCACAGAGATTTGCACAGAAATGGGTTGATTAATTTTTAATGGATTATGCCATAAAAAAGTTTCCTTATGGAAATTAGAGTGAGAATCGTGGCGATAACCAATAGGTTAATAAAGAGATTTCCAGAAAGCTGAATGTGTGGGACTGCTAAGTAACAGCAATCGGTTACAAAGGTCCATTATGTACGCTTTAAACCCCAGTTTATTTGCGTTTCTAGAAAGCATCACCGTTAATATTCCCATTTCCTTCCTCGGCGTCTTCATTCATAATTACCAAACTGCAAATCAAGCAAAGAAACCAGTGAGTCACAGCATTTATGAAAGACTCTGGACAGTATAGTAAAGAGAAGCTACACAATTCACAGGCCTGTAGCTGATGTTACCTTTTTAAAGGTGCTCTTTGATTGAAAAGCGACTTAGGCTCCAATTCTATACTCACTTACCTGGGAGTAAACATAGGACATAGTGAGACCTTCTTCTGAGATGATATCCTTGGATCACATTCTTTCTATATTTATGGAGGGGTTTGTTTTTGCCATGGATTGCTGTGGTGCAGCCTGGTCCACATGTGTCAGTGGAAACTTCTGATCAATGTGCAGCAGTGTGCAGGGACCCCCCCCCACTGTTATGGATTAAGCAGCTCACAAATCAGGCATCAAGGTGTAAAGAGAGCACTAACAGATAGTAAGTACATTTTCCATATAATATGGTGGAGAAGAAGCATAGCCTTCTGACCTGCAGCATGGGAAAGGAAGACAGTTCATGCAGAGGCTTCAGGTGTGATGCCTGATCAAATGGTGTACATATGTGTGTGAATCAGATGGAGGTTAAATTGAATTTCTCCTTAAAATGAATGGGGTAAAATATACAGATGTCATAATCATAATCATGCTAATCAGAGATGCTGTATTACTAGATATATTACTGAGTACAGTGGTACCTCAGGTTACATACGCTTCAGGTTACATACACTTCAGGTTAAAGACTCCACTAACACAGAAATAGTGCTTCAGGTTAAGAACTTTGCTTCAGGATGAGAACAGAAATCGTGCTCCGGCGGCACGGCAGCAGCAGGAGGCCCCATTAGCTAAAGTGGTGCTTCAGGTTAAGAACAGTTTCAGGTTAAGA